AAAGACAATAACTTTCATGCTTAAAAATAATGTTATAAAACGCACAAACGTCTTAAAAGCTCGGTTTTGTCCAAATTTTTTCCCCCCGCGCCCGCAAATCCGACTGGCGCAAAAGTTTGCGCTCCCCCTTCCCCCCCCCCCCCCCGGCCCGTACGCCTATGCAAACAAGCTATAGGAATGCTGATATACATTTACTGGTTTATAACTGGGCTTTTTAAAAACATATTATTATATGGCTACAGTAGTAGGTGCACTCTGATTGGCTGTTTTCTTGTAATGACCGGGCAATACTCGCTTGGTGTCCAAGGCATATACAATGGTGTTTTACTTGATAGTAGACATCCTTATGGACATCCATGTTATGGTCAATTGACAGCTGTCAGAAACAGCATTCGCCGACCAGTCTCACCTAACTGTATCGCGGGATCAAGTGTACAACTAATTGAGGTGACATGTTTCTTTAAAGTTATCTGCTGACCAGTTGTTGGTTTTCATTTAGCCAGTTCCAGGCATTCACATAGTAGAGCAACCTCGTCCCCAGGGTCTTCTCGCTTTCCAATATGCCGCCGCCATACCGGAAGAGGCTAGTTTTAATCGATCGCAGGCTCAGGTACATAATGAAAGGCCATGTAATGAAAAATTGAGCGTTTTCACTCACGTGGCCAGCATCTACACAAATTTATTGGAACAAAAGAAAGCGTTTGCATAACAAAAGAGTTCATCTCCCACAGGACTGGTTTGGGACACCAACATGGCCACCGTTTCATTGTTTTGGGATACCGATATGGCCGTCGTGACGTCATGTGAAAACACTCTATAGCTGTCGTCGTCTGTTCAGTCATTACAGGAAAATATCAGACCTTGGCCTTCATGTATTGACCCCACTATTGCTCATTCAAAACATCAAGGTCTAGGTCTGAGGTTTCCCTGTAATGACCTCACTCTCGGTTAATAAGTAGTATATAATAAATCAAATCCATTTCAGTACAAGATAGAGGGTGGCTTACAACCTTATCCCCAGGGATTTTCTGTTCGAAAATAGGAGGAAAAAAACCCTGGGAACGAGATTGTTATCTTTTTGTTTACAGGTAGATGGGCCTATAAACAGGGGAGGCTTTTTCCTATCCTAGCAAACTACAACAACAAAAACAAAAACAAACATACCATGGGACGTCTATTCTACAAAAATTGGTTGAGGAGCCCTGTACAGGCCATAACAAACAACACTTGATGGTGAATTCTAATCAGGTGATGAGATATGCACAAGATTCATTGCATGATAATAGAAAAACAAACACCAAAACAAACAAAATTTCCAAAGATACAAAAGTAATCAGCTTTAATTTACATAGACATACATGACATTGAGTTACGGTACCAATGTTACCTTGCTATGTTTATTCTAAAAGGGCAGCTATTTGCATACCAGCGTATTTCACGCTTTTCACTACCAGCAAAAACAATCACCTGTTAATTCGACTGTTCAATAATAAATTCTAAATAATTATGTCAAGAATCTTACTATGTAAAATCTTGTTTATCCTTTTTACGTTCAGCTATTAAAATTAGAAGGGAAATCTTTCATGCTACTAGAGTGTATGTGCGGTAATGAAAGGAAGAGACATCACGTATCATAAACGGATTTTTTGGGTGCCTGATATAAGCTTGTTTTGCTTTATTATTTCATTAATTTTGTTCCTAATGGTGAAAATCACACTTACATTCTTTTAATAAAGACAATACTTGCAGAAAAGATTAAACTTTTACTCAATGTTTGATTTGTCTATTTATTTAAAGACCGAAACAACTGAATCAAATTCTAAATCTCCCTTATCATTGGCCTGAATGGACTTTGTCCCATCTAACTTCCTTGTCAAGGCATCTTTTACAGAACCATACACCATTCTCTTCTTAACAGGACATTCGTCACTTATCCTACGATAAAAAATAATGGGAAAAAAGGAAGAAAATTTTAAAGACAGGGGCCATCAACCTCATAGTAATAATTACTAGCATACCGTAAACTGCCGCTTATAAGCCCATCCGCTTATAAGCCCCCCCCCCCGCCCCCCGGTTATAGGCCCACCTACATGCAAACAAAAAAATACATCCGATTATAAGCCCATCCGGATATAAGCCCCCCCCGGTTTATAAGCCCACCCAAAACCCTTATGAACTTGTATAAGCCCGAGGCTTATAAGCGGCAGTTTACGGTATACCAAATTAAATTTAAAAAAATATTGTTTGTTCGGACAGACCTGGAGATCCTTGAAGACACATAACTGGACTCAATAAACAAATCTAATTAGTCTCAAAGGGGCCAAGCAAAGATTTTAACAGCAGAAGGGAGGGAGTTCACCTCAGATATAAAGTTTGTATGTGGGGTGGAGAAAGAGTATTTGGGGTAAGAAGAAGGATGGGAGGGGGGGGGAGGGGGGATCCAAAGGATATCCTCGACAGATTCATTTGTGCATACTCTAAGCTGTCTCAATTCCTTACAAGGCAATTTGAATCCTAGATAAAGGACAAAAATGACTACTTTACCCTTTGAAAATCCGAATTAAGCTGTTTACTACCATTAACTACTTGGGCCCCCATGAAGCATTGCCTGATGGGCATAATGCATTTATTAGCTACCCTCACAAGGAGTCCATCATCAGTCCGGATGTTCTAATTGGGTTCAAACATGACAGGTTTCACCATTAATCATTCAGAGTTTGAAGGGCCCTAGATAAATGTTCAAGTACAAAGTAGGTGACTGTTTGGTGGCTTGAAGCATGTGACCTAATTTGTGTTTGCTAAACAAAACGTTCATTGCAAGTATTGTGCGACGTGAAAAAAATGTTCTGCTGCTATATAAAGCTCCAGAGAATAATTCTGTTTCTGAATGAGAAATACTCCTGAAAATGAGGAAAAATTCTCTTGCTCACTAGAACAACAAATTGAAGCTGACAGCCGCTAACTGACGCACACATCTCATCTCTAGCAAATAGAAGGGTTTCCTTGTGTCGTCGATTTGTCTTTGATATCGCTAGCAATCACAATAACCTAATATCATTCCTCATTCCCAAATCTGAAACAAGAACTGTCTCTTATAATTTAAGATCTGGTAGTGAAAGAACAATAAACAAATTAGGAAGAACTAAGAGAGCCGACAAAATTTTTTACATTTAGATATTCTTAAACTAACAAGTACAATTGTACACTCATAGCATAGTTATGTTGTATTTTTTAGATTGTATAAATATCAGCTGTTCAAATGTTCAGTATTTTTTAACTGCAAGAAAGTGAAATAAAGTTTTTTATTATTATAATTATTGTCATTAATTCTTTCATAAATCGTGGGTGGGAAATTTGAACTTTGGTTTACAATGTGTAAACATTTGCTGCTTTGAATGGGTCTTCTTTGTTGGAAAATGTCAATATTTTTTATCTGAAAGTGGAATTTTGACTGCAAGGATGCATTCTGTTCCTGATAAATAAAAGTCATTCCTGAAAAATCAGTGAAACGTGCTAATCAATTCCTTCCCTTATGCCAAAAAATAGGTGTTTGAGAAGCGCATGTGACTACTGCTGAAGAGTAAAATGAAAATGGTAGAATGGTGCTACATATGCCATATCCTTATGTGAATATTCGTACAGCCCCATATATTTATTATGCATCATTAAACACATTTGAATGCTTTAAAATGCATTGCACATGTCTCAATGATTAGTAATGCATTGGCAACGTTTCTCATGAATGCGTGCAACGTTGTCAAATAATGAAGAATGATTTTCCAACATTGTTCAACGCCTTTTTTTTTGCGTGACAATAGAAAAGATAGCAAAAGGTCAACACAGGGCACATCGTCACTCCAATGTCTTTTTATAATGTGCTGCGCACCTCCCCATGCTCCCTCAGGAAGAGGGTTGCGTGATGACGGTAGACTGCAAAATGTAATTTGGAATATTGACTAGACATCAACACGCTTTGTTAATCAAACAGGCACCTAGTTCTGATGGATCAGAATCAAAAGTATATTTGTTTTCAGTACTTGCGAAACAATATAAAAAAGGCCTTTAAAAGCAATATTGGAAAATAATATACTTTGAACGAAAAAAAAAAGCAAATCAAATTGCACTGGATTATGTATTTTCACGGTTCGATACTATCGCATTATTTGCTAGTCCCTGTAAAATAAATATCTTGCCAAAAACTGAAGAGCTATTTATTTTCTTCTGGTTCGGTTGAAGATTTTCCTAACACTTCCCAAGACTTTATATTTTTTGTGACATTGCGTGTGAAGACTCACAAGACCAGAGAGATGATTGACAGGAACATCAGAACCTTGATCGCCCCTGGAAGTTGACAAATATTGTAATATATGAAGTTGTTCGCCTCGCTTGTCAGTCGCATAGTTGGTTTGTTCACCCCCGAGAGAAACCTCTGCAGCAAACCATCTGTGCTTCTCGTTGTACATGTGCATGCGCCAGATTATTAATTCGTTACCACAGAGATAATGGTGTATACTTCATTACCTGACAGAAATACAATGCTGTCAAAAATATTTCTGAGATTTAATTGTTCATCCAATGTAACTTTTTCTTGCTGTTTTGATGATATTCTCATGACAAAAGACTATATGAGAAATATTCTACTTGCAACTTAACACTTTACTATCATGAGCTCTTACAGCAAAGTATTTACAACATGATACAATGCCTCAGACTGAAGAAGATCTGATTATAGAACAGTTAAGTGCTTTGAAAGCTTTCTGAACTGCATCATTTCTGTCGCAGGAGAAAGTGTGCTCCATTTTGCATAGCGAATCAGTTAACAAAAAAAAGAATTTGGAGGTGTCTAAAGATCATACACAATGGAAAACAACAGACAGCTCATTACAGAGGTTTCCCTCCAGGGCGAAAGCAAACGGCTAACAAGACATAAACCCTGCGAGCAGAGGTTTCTTTCTGGCATGGCTTTGTAGTATTTACAAAGTCATTGATTCATATCATAAAAAAGAAAATATGAACAAATTCCTGTGATATTAACTTACCAAGAAATCACACCCATTTTGTTCTCAACTCTTTCACCTTTCCTAAACCAGAAGTCAAACACGATAAAACAAGGATCGTCAACGGTCAACTTGTCCTTCATTGCTTCAAATCTTCTCTTTGACTCTTCAGGTGTTTTCTCCTGATATACTCCCACGGCGTCTCTATCTTCCACGCTATCCTTCAGCACAATTTGGGTTCCCCCAGGATTAAGTGCGCAGCGGAAGTACACAACTTTCTTTTGTTTTTTGAAGTCAGTACTGTAATAATCAACCACTTCATCACTGATTTGAATACCAGACATAGACTGCAAAAGAATATTGTCCCATCTTAACAAACCAATAATAATAATAATAATAATAATAATAATAATAATCTTTATTGAGATAACTTTTTCATCATTATAAAATATGGTTTTCAAAAAGGATTTCCTAAAATTAATGAAGATGTTAAAAAGCTACAAATAATATGTAAAAACTATTAAAATGTACAAGACATTTACTCCAAATTCATTTAAATTGCAAATTTAAAAAGATTATGCTTAAAAATATTTACATTCACAGATTGTCGGATTGCCTGGCTAACAGTAAGAAGGTTTAAATCCTGGATGGCATGAAATGCAGTCTGTTGTTTGCTCCAATTCCTTTTGACACTTGGAAGTATGAAATTTAGCTTACATGTAGTTCTGGTAGTATAATTATGTTGTTCTTGCTGTCTTATGAAGTTCATATCATGCTCAACAAGTCCATTTAAAACTTATACACATAAATACATGTCTTCTCTGAAAACATCTTTTGTAGTTTCATGTGACTTTTGATGACCTTTGTCATCTGTCCTCACTCACGTACTATACATGTATGAACTGTGAATTGCTATTTCAAGTTCCCATTAACCCATTCGCCCCTGAACTGCCTGTAACCGCCAGTGCGGATCAACGTCCTTTCTACCCTTTGTGACATCATCAGTTTTAACGGTCAAGGACAACTTTGTCCGCTAACTTGTGCAGAGTGAAGAGATCTTTCAAACCATACCAGAATGAGCACAATTCAGTCAAGGACACCGGAGAAAGAGGCAAAAAAACATGTAACATTAACCTGAAAATCTCCATGAAAATCTTGTTCCATTGCTCACCTACCTTTCCTTTCACCTAATCCTAAGATCCTAAAAGCTTTCCTAAAAACTATTCCCACCAAAATGAAGCCTACTAAATACCCAGCAAGAGAAAAAAAAAAATGAGGCAAGAAGTTTTGCTTTCTGCGCATGCCCGAACTTCACAAGCTGATATATTGCATCTGGATCAGAAGGCCGTGAAGTGTACGACCTGTAAACCAGTTTGTGGTAAGGTTTAGCTCTTTATAGCACAACAGTGACCAGAAAACCAATCGACTAGCTTCAAAACGCGTTTTTCGGCAAAATCTCCAGGAGCGAATGGGTTAATTTTATTTATATACACTCCTTCCTTTTTGATGTTTAAACTCAAATAATATAAGGTTCAAAAAGTCAAAGCAGACGCCCAGGAATGACTTAACTGGCTTGAGTATGGCAAAACAGTAAGAAAACATTCCCCAGAACATGCTGTTTCACGTACATGGAAATCTCCACTGCAGTTGAGGGAATGGCTTTGCCTGGCCATGGATCTTAATTTCCAAAATGATCAAACCAATGATGCATACAAACTTATAATTCATGATACTGTAATGTGGTTACATTCTCATCTCGACCACCTTTTATAGCCTCGATGGGGAGCAAGGGATGGCGCAGTGGTAAGAGCGCTCGCCTCCAACCAACATGGCCCAGGTTCAAATCCCGGCATCGACGCCATATGTGGGTTGAGTTTGTTGTTGGTTCTCTCCTTTGCTCCAAGAGGTTTTTCTCCGGGTACTCTGGTTTTCCTCTCTCCTCAAAAACCAACATTTCCAAATTCCAGTTCGACCAGGAATCAGGCAGATGAAGAACTACTTTGTGGATGTGCTACCTCTAAATCATTATTTTTATTTTTTATTTTTTTATTTAATATATCTTGCCTGGAATACACTGCCTCCATTTGTATCTACATGAATAAGCCAGTGCACGTTCATAGAAGAAGCCTGCACTTTGGCTTAAGACACATGAACAGCCATGCAGTTGTGCCATGCTTGTGACATTAAAATCGCTCATATTCTTCTGCTTTCACATTTTGAACCTTGAATTATCCAAGTTTTAACCCTTTACGTGCCAAGAGTGACTAACACCGATTTTCTCCTTACAATATTGATTTAAAGTCAAGAGAAAAAATCATGAGAAGTATTAAAATGATCACCAATAAGACAATACTTTGATCTTTTATCAAATTCTCTTAAAATAAAACTGAGGGAAATGCATAGAGTGTGGAGAATTGGTATGTTGATATTGTGGCTTAAAGGGTGACAGAGCAAAAGGGAAGGAAAATGTATAAATTAACAGGAACTTGAAATAGCGACTTGTAGTTCGTACATGTGTAGTATGTGGGTAAGGAGAGATGTCCAAACTTCTGGGATTTGTTTACAACATAGGTCATCAAAAGTCACGTGAAACCACACGCGAAACCTGACGCTTAAAAGGCGAATTGTCAGGGAATCAATCTCTAGTTAAAAACCCTCATCATTCAATTAAATCATATAATTTACTCAGCAATCATCTAACATTTTCTTTGCTTGAAAACAAGCAATATATTTTTTATTTGTTTGATCTTCTTTCTGCAGCATTGTAATGGAGTATTGTTTAAAACATAAAACATTACAGAACCTTACCATGTTGAAATGAATTTACTGCTACACTTGGTATATGCACTAACTGAAAGGACATAATGGAACAGAAGTTAATAATGTTGTTTATGTTCCTTTCTGGGATTTGCACTGGATTCTTTAAAAGATAATCCGGTCACATGTTATTTATAAGGTTATGATAGCAAAACATCTTAAGACGGAATCCACCAGGAAATTGAGTAATTTTAATTTTCAGTGGACAAAAACCTTGTACCAGAATAATTTAAAGAATATTGCATTTTTTTTTTACATTTTTTTAGGGCTACATATGTAATTAGTCATCTGTAATAACACCAAAGAAAATTTCTCAAAGGAGCCCGAGAAAATGAATGTCAAATTTAACAAAATTACATCTTACACATGAAATTTTCAGAATTTTACCTGTGTTTTCACAATTCTTGTGAAATTTGACATTCATTTTCTAGGACTTGCACGAAAAATTTTCTTTGGTGTTATTACAGATGACTAATACCGTCTTAAGGCCTTGAAAATGCAAAAAAGAATGCAATATGCTTTAAATTATTCTGGTACAAGGTTTTTGTCCACTGAATATTAAACTTACTCAATTTCCTAGTGGATTCCGTCTTAAACTGCTAGACAGTTAACCCCACAAACACCCTCATTTTACACTTTAAGTCCCAAAAGTGACCAAAACCAATTTCTCCTTACAACGTCAAGGATACACAATTAAGAGCAAAGGTTAGGAGAATAAAATAAAAAATGATAAATGAAAGGAAACTGATTTAATATTTTGTCAAATTCTCGCAACTTATCCTTCGAGGAGATATATGGAGATCAGTGTGAAGAATTTGTATGTGGATATTGGAGCTTAGAGTGTCAATGTCCATCAGGACATCTTACATTGGGTACACACAATCTAATACTATCAAAACCAACCTCAGTCTGAGAGATTTCTTGTTCATGCACCATCCAATTAAAATTTCCTTCTCTTCTTAACAACAGACTTCATTACAATACCACTCAACAACAATATTTCTGGTCTATTATGCCCCAGTAGATCACAGACTGTCCAAGCATCCAGATTTTGTCACGATTCTCCCAATTTTTTTTTGAAAATCCTGAATCCCGACCAACATATGATCGAGATGGGAAAAAATCCTGATTTGGACATTTGTTCTGATATTTTCAAATGAATTCTTATGATACTCATACAAGAACACCTAACAAAGTATTGATGTCCAGAAAACTTAAAAGGGACAGTGTCCCAATTGTGCATACGTGTGTTTTTTCTTCAAAAGACAATAGAACTGTCATATTGACTCAACAAGATTTCCTTCCGGACCGCACTGCTGACGGAGATTTGTTGTTTACATTCTTAAGTCTTATTTTGGACTTTCGAAGAAGTTTTTTGTCTTATTTAAAATTTGGCTTGCGGCATGAAGACTCATCGCGATTTTGTCACTAGCAGGGCCGCCTAGCGACCCGAAAATCTCATTTCACTCGCTTTAAAAACACCTTTTCTAATGTGAAACTCGTGTCAGAAGTCAATTGATCCAAGTCCAGTAATATTTGCCTGATTTGCTCGTGTTCTAGCCTAAAATGTTTGCAAGATATAAATAAAAATGCAATCTCAACACAATGAATTATCGCAAAGGTTAGTCAAAAATTATATGATGTTTTCATTGCACTAGTTTTTCTAAACATGTAGTGCCTGTTTGTTTGATTTTGTCGGCCGTAGGGAGGTTCATTTAAAAGTTTACTGACGCGTCGTTGCAAAACATTCTGCTTCACGAAGCTTAATTCCACAAGATCATCTCAGTCACATCCATGTCTCAATGGTTTCTCTCTTTACAGCCTCTATTGTTGCTGTTTCATTTCTGCATATTCCTTTCACAATTATCTGAGCTTGTATGGAATTTGGCAGAAGAAATAAGCCTTCAATCGGCACCAAAGCACTTCCCATCTTTTGGTCCTCCGGCCAACGGCAATAAAAGTAATGCCAAAAAATCCCGATTTTGTCCAAATCAAAACTCAACTGAACAATATATCATTGATCTGTAATCCTGAGAAGTTTTAGTGTAGTATCAAACTCGGCCAAGCGCGATATAAACAGATTTTTTGAGGTTCTCTAACTATCCTTGCATCTTTTGATTTAGCGACACCCTGTCCAAAAATCAAAGTTTGGTGCATGCACAGTAACGGGATACTGTTCCTTTAAAAACCGCAAGAAATATAAATTAAAATTGAGCACTTGTATGCGACGGTAAAGGATGTTTTGCGTTAGAGAAGATTCATCAAGAAAAGGGCATTATTGTAACTTAAAACTGTTTTTGATTGTTTCTTGTATTAAAAAAGGTTCTCTGAGATGTTAGGCAGCAGGGCACAGTCGCATTCACAGCTGGTCAATTTGCCCGGTGCCTGGCTCTTAATGAAACTCCTGCTCACAACAAACAATAACAATGCAAAACCCGTGGAAACTTGAACTGTACATCTTCAGTGTCTAAAACTGTTGTCTAATTTTGAGAGTATAAAGTGACTTGACCACTATTTCTTGTATTGGCAAATTTCATCGCATCTTTGCTCCCTGAAATACCTCAAGACATTGCTTTTATCCCATCAATAACCTAGAGCGCATGCAAAGATGGAAGGTATCCTGAATAAGGTTCATTGGTTTAAACAGAGTTCCAAATCTCAATAAACCACTATGAATTCAGCTGTTACATACAACAAAAATTTAACTATATTGCAAGGTTCGTTTTGAAGTTGTTTCTAAGAATACCTAAGTGGAACTCTTGCACTGCAGGGCTGTGCTCTAGTTAGCAGTGTCTCATGGCCCCTGAAAACTTCCTTTTTCCCTTTGGGAGCGGGAGAGTTCTTAGTTGTTGCATTTTAACGATTATATGCTGGGTACCCTAGAAAGTACAGTTGTTCAGAGTCTGCTTAAATTGTTCCAAATCCTGTTCAGGGCTTGGGCGCCCAGCAATAATTATTCTTCTCGAAGTACGTACAGGCTTGCAAAGACCAACTTATTCAGGATTATTAACCTTGCAAACTACGTGGTCTAATTTTGACAAGGGCAAAAGGCGGCAAAACTCTCGTGTTAGGTGGGTGTTCATTTGAAGAGTGGGTTTTTATCAGATCAATACAAGCACACATCGGAAACCAATACAATCGCAACAGCCGTAGGACAACAAGAATCCTATTACGTGAATCGAAGATTGACTTGAAAATTGAACTGTTGGTTCGACAATAGTGTGTTAAGAAAGGCCCACCTAAATCCCCAACTTCTATTAACCACTTCAACTGTTTTCAACTTAAAATGGATCTCTTACTGCTACATTCAACGACAATTTTGTCGGGATTCATTCGATTAAAAGAGGGGAAGGCGACTTTTGATGACTTTGATCAAAGTGGGCCCTCATACCACTGGCAAAGATGACAATGAAATTAAACAACTCACATTTCCCCGTCCAGAAAGATAAACTTTGTGGAAATCAGGGCCCCTTTCTTTCTAAACAGTGTTGAAACGCGTGTAGCATTGTGTCGAATACGCCCAGCTACAAAATCATGCATGGGGATTATATATTGAGCGGGTGTTGTTTCCATCGGCTCTCAAATCTTTGCCAACGAACTATCGAATAATAGGTATACTACTACTACTCAGGGCGCAACAAAACAAATTCCAATAAACTTTTACCTGTTGAAAATGATGCTTGAAGCAGGATCTTCCCTTCGCAGTCGTACTGAAAGCGTTATGAGTTAAGGAAAGGAGTGGAATTACACGTTGACCATATATGGCCAACAATCCCTGCTGTCTCTATCAGGCCATATAAGGGTAGGTTTTTTGACTGTCCATCATCTTGCGCAAAAGGACACTGCGTTGCCCTTGGATGTGCACGCGCGTGTCCACGCGCAATGGATATAAGCCCGGGATATAATCATCTCATATCCCACAAGCGCGAGTGGAATAATTGTTTTATTAAAAACGCCCAAAAAATACTGAGAATTCTTCCCGACTGTATCTGTAAAAACAACCGATTTTCAACTTGTACAGTTTATACCATATTTGGAGAGCATGGGAAGGGCTCATGTACCATGATGGCTAAGTCAATCAGAGCTTTAGAATTGCATTATCCAATTATTCAGTTTTTATAAAAAGATATATATATATATTCATATACCCTGACCCCACGTAAGAGGAAGGAGACTGAAAACCCGGGTTTACATGACTAGCATTATGGACAAGGCTTAGTAACCACCCATAACTACTTTACACGCTGGTCACTAGGCTTTTGTACATTATGCTTTTGCTTCCACACTAAAATGCTCCACCTTAATTCTCCATTTTTCCCACTAAAAGGCTCGGTCGCCCCAAAAAAGTCACTAAAATGCTTGGATAACGCTCATTATACAAACGGTTTTTTAAATTAACTTTAAAGTTTACACTTACAAAAACGTGCAAGTGTTGCAAGTAACAACGACAACGTGTACAAGTTCATAAATCCAGCCAAAAGAAACAGCTGTATTAGGTTTTTTTGTGAATTTTGAGTTTTAGTCCTCATTTTCTTTAAGAAAGCAGGAGCTCATGGGGCATGGGCTCCTGAAAAAAGTTAATTTCTATTTTATTTTCTCGGAAAAAATTAATTTTCCGGGGAAAATGCCACTAAAATGCTCGAATAATGCTCAATGCTTTTGCCTCACTAAAATGCTCGAAAAAATGCTAGCATAATGTACAAAAGCCTACTGGTCACACAACAAAAGTTTCTGTATTTGGGTTACCGCTGTTTTTCTTGTGGGTGCTTTAAGAACTACAGTCGACTCCCAAAAATACTCGAACGACCCTACCTCGCTATTAAACTCGCATCAAAACCGATTTCCCCTTGATTTCCTTCATAGATTTAATGTAATTTTACCCTCGGTAACTCGAAAGTTTTGTTTCCAGTCCCTTCAGATCGGTTCATGATCAACCATGCCTTTTATTAGGCGGGTGACAAGTAAAAATGGTGTACTGCAGTCCAAAACATTGAATTTAATATTAATATATCGTGTATTCTTTGTCTTTACTTTTTTGTCAGTTCAGTTCAAATACAGTCTCCAGCCCTGTATATTATTCAAGCTTTGTTTCTAAAAATTTCCCCTCCTAAAAAAAAAAAAAAAGAAGGCCTGATCGCAGGTTACACTTGAAGTGAAGTGTGCATGATGGCTTGCATTCGTTCTTCATCCCATTTCCCTATTTTCGTTTTTTTGCTTCGACCTGCCGATAACTCGAACTTTTTTCGACTTCCCTTGAAGGTTCTATTTACCGGCAGTCGACTGTGGAAATCGGGGAGATCAGTGCAGCGTGTGAAACATGGAAACTGACGGAAAGGCATTATTGCGGTCGACATGATATTATATTTCTTAGGGCGGGAGAGGGGGAACTGCATACTTTCTCTGCCTTCATAAACAATATAAAACCGCGCACCAAGTTTTGCAAGCACTTTGCTTGATCAGTCCTTGCAGCTGGCTCTATTTTTGACAACACCAATACTTCGGAGAAAAAAAGTGTTTGGACGCTTTTGCGACCTGATATACAGCAAAACCTGCGTATAAAAACCAACTGTTTTGAAGTCTGGAAAAAAGGTTCTTGTATTTTGCGGTACTTTTTAGCAATTTAGACAAAGTAGGTTCTTAATTAGGTTCTTAATTTCTATGAATGATGTATAGTTGTTGCATGACTACCAGAAAAATAAAGAAACTTGAGTTTGGTCCTTGAATATAGAGTATTTATTCACAACTTTACATTGCAAACCTCCCTTATGCAAAACCCATGAAGATCTGGAAGTCTCGAAGTCTCGACTAGTAATGCATGGTTCAACTTAGACCTGTTACCATACCTCCTGGGCATACTCCGGGGATTTGCAAGTTTTTTTTGTTTCTTGGTGGTCTATTCCCCACCCCTGAGCGCGCAAAAAGAGACACTTTCCCACCCCCGAGCTCCTGATCGACCTTATATACGTCTTTTTTGGGTACATCTTTTTGAGATCAATAATTGACTTCCTTAACGAGACATTTTCATAACTTTTATAAACGTTTTCTAGAGTTTATTTAGAGAAGGATGATACGTGTATAATGTGGGTAAAGCATGTACAATAAACTTGAAAACGAAAAAGCGCGAAGAAAAAACTCCCAAGGGCCTCCTTGGTATGATCGAACACTTCATAAGAACACTGGACTGAATCTCTGTTTATCTATATGTATTAAAAGTCTAGTATACAGTCTATTTATGTTGTTTTTTATTAAACAAGCCTGAAGAAATATTTCTTCGTTTCTTTTACAAAAAAAAAAAAGAAAAAAAGAAAAAAGAATCATTCGAGTACTTATCAAACCCACGTTCGTTTGAAATTTTGAAACATACCTTCAAATACAGACTTTAATCTTGACAGGTTATTGCTTTCCAACTACTCTTCGACAAATTCCTGCGTTTTCCCTTAAAATTACGTAGTCTTGAAGTCCGCAGCCATCATGCAAACCGCGCAAGAGATGACATGTACTTCGCAAAATCAAAGAGAAGTTATTTTTGATTTGCCCCACCCCCGTACCTCCGGGACAGGACCGCTTTAAGCAATTCCCCACCCCCGGGCCCGAAAATCTGGACTTGTCCCGGAGGTTGCCCGGGGGAATGGTGACAGGTCAAACTGAACCACGCATAAATGAATCTCGCTCGAAACTCATGCCCTTTTCGCCCTAGTAGATATTTACACTATTGATATAATAGTAAATGAATCTAGCTAGAACGTCATGACCTTGTAACTAAAGAAATTTCAAGAAACTTTTCTGATGATGCTTACTACCAAATCCTCCCTTCGTAATCCTGCTTCATGTGGTAAGGCAAGGTGAAACGCGAGCAAAAGGTATTAAATGGAATGGATGGAATCGCACTATATATGGCCAATAATCCCACAGGAAACCCAAGCTGATTTA